CTCCGGCAGCCTGGTTTCTAAAGATCACTCTGTCTGCTAATGCAATGTTAATGCATGCAAATGATGTGCCTAACCTCTCTCCCCTGACCAGGAGAGGGAAAGGGAGTGAGAGAAAAGCGGGGAAGGAGAGAAGGAAGACGGGAAGTGCGCAGCTGAACGAGTGGCTGACCACGCAGATGTGATTAGATGTCCGCAGTCAGCGGCCCCTGTGTGCGGTGGTTGTCTCCCTATCTGTGTTTGCCGACAAAGCCTCGGGGGAGGGGGGGGGGGGTGCTGGAGTGCTGCTCCGCTTCCTCGCCAGAGCGACTCTTCTACAGAGCGGTAATAGTGTGGCCGCTCGCCCACAAGCTGCAAGGTGCTGTGCGACGTGGCAGCCCAGATGTGTGAGGCCGAGAGAATGTCACCTTGCAGTGATGATTTCACCAGGCTGCGCAGATGCTGCGTGAATAATAATACTTCTTCTTCCCGAGTCGAGGCGTTCCGTCTAACATTTGCCGCTGATCTCCCTTTGGCTTCTGTAAGTCCCCTCTGATGTATCTCCTCACATCTCTCTTGGTTTTTTTCCGTTGTCCCCGAGACCCCCGAGTCCGCTTTCATGCTGAACATTTTTATTTTCACTCAGCCAAAGCGAGTGTCTGCGAGCCCAGAACACTGTTAATACATTTGTGTGTGTGTGTGATTTGTGATCTGCTCGTTCATTCTGTGGCTCACCGGAGCGGGACTTGTGTATCCCATCACTCCCCGCTAATGTCTCCGAGGTTGGCAGATTATTTTCTGTTCAATTTTCAAATCAGCCACATTGTCACTGCCGTCTTCGGGGAGACATCGAAGTAACGTTTTTCTTTTGATGTATTTCTGTTTCGACTGTTTCTGCATCTTCTATTTAAAGCGAAAAGGCCTTTCAGTATGAGTGACATGGCTTTAGTGTGGCGCGGATTACACAACTCTCACGTCTACATACGCGAGGATTGTATTTCCCAATGAAGACGTCACTTCTCTCGTGTTCTTTCCGCCGTGAAGCGGCGCGGTGCCATGAAACCCAGTTACAGTTTCCACCACTTCAATGAGCTGATACTATCATCCAATGAGCAATGCCTTCTGGGTGATGTAGCAGGTTGAATTGAGTTAACAATGTCCGTCTGTGTGACAAACTTCCACACGATTTGTTTAGAAGACACTTCACTCTGTCAAAAATGTTCCCTTTTTATTCCGAGATCCCCAGAGAGGACGGCTGATTAGTTTGGGAGACGCGGCAGCCTTTTGTCATGTTTGTTTGTCACTTTGTTTCCGTCTCTGTATTAAGACGCCAGGCTCCGCAGACCACCACGGGGCTTCATCATTGTTAAGTGCTCACTTTGATTGGCGCTGATTTTGTCTATTCGTTTCTCATCACTGTCTTTCTCTCTGTGTGTCCCTTCCGTGTCCCCCCCACCCTCGGTCCTCCCGTCTCGAATCAGTTGTGGAGAATAGATAAACCCATCTACAATAATGTTGTTCATTGCCCCCTCAGATCTTATTCCAGCAGAGACATGGCCCCTCTCAGCCCAGCGTGCTGCATCTGCACCAGATTGTCTCGTTGAATTATAACGTGCACCAGCATCGCTGAAAAGGAGGACATAGCGGGGGGGGGGCTGGTGAAGTACTAGATGCGAAAGATGCGTTACGGGGTCTGAGGGGAAATCTGCGCAGTCTGCCGTGTTGAGCGAGGGGCCGCGCTCCGGGGAGGCGCTTTGGGCCACGGACACCGGTCACGCGCGTGTAATTAAAGTCACACGCGAAGACTTAGACGTAGAGGCGACCTGAGACATGATCTCTTTTCAATGAATGTTCTTTGGCCCGAATGCGAAGCCGTCCACGCGTCTCTTGTCTGCTTGCTGACGTGTAATTGTGTGAATCGAGTCCTTTTATCGAGCTGTTTCGCGAGGCCCCATCAATGTTTAATGCGGCCTCTCTCTTTCCTTCATTTCTCTCGCTCGCTCCCTCCTCTGTGGAAACAGCCTACCGTTTGGTATTGATCTACTACTTGCTGCTAATGAGAAGGAGCGCTGCTTTTCTGCCGGTGGAAGCTGTAGGCCCTTCGGTCAAGTCGTCGCTTTGGCTCGGCTTGAGGCTTCTGTGCTTGAGACTCACACAGTGAGCCGACCCGTTGGTCGGTAACCAATATTCTGTATTCACAATCCTGGCGGTTCTTTGAATGGATTCATGGAAAAACTACCTTGACACCTGAGCTATTGTTTTACGATTGATTTAGAGTCAACATTAAGCTCTCTATACTAATAAATCTCCCATGGACTGAACTGCTAGTGAACCTGGCTGGGTTTAATTTATTTGGAGCTTGCAGGTGGAGCTGACGTAGCAGAATATGAATACAGGGGAAAACTCTCTGGGCTACCCTCCAAACATGAGGGTATACAGGGAGACGGCGTCTTTTCTTGTCTTCCAAATCGCTTGGAAAAAACGAAACAGAAGGTAATGGGAGGTGCGGCCAAATATAAGTGGAACCAGAATCAGGGTGTAATGCAAAGGAAGGACTAACAGTTTTTATTTATTTATTTATTACACAGAAAGCCTCATTGTTTCATAAACCCGGGTTAATAGGATGAATTATAATTTCAGTAATAAACTAAATCTCTTGTAATTTTGGGAGAGCCGTCTATTCTAGTTCAGGTGGGTTGCTCGTTTTAAAATGAAACTCTTCAAATCCACTTGTGATTAAATGGATGAGTGGTCCACAAAACAGCTCATTTAAAAACGCACACACATACACGCACACTAGGGACATTTTCCAAATCCCTAGTGCCAGTGGACAGGTGCGCAAGCTCCGGCGTGACTGCTGTGTGCGCCCCACCCTGTTGCTAATAACCACTTAGCGTACTCCATTTACTCGTCTGCTACTCCGATATTCTGCTAATGGTAGACATTAGGTCACATGACACAACTCACCCACCGCTCTCCTGGGCATTTGACCTTTTTTTTTTGCATCTTGTGTGTCCTTCACCCCTCCGTTCCTTTTAAAAGGAAATGGGAAATGGCCAACCAGGGCCTGTGTGATTTGACTAAAGCTTCTGTGATTTCCCCTGAGAAACGGTTGGCAGTCCCCACAACGCTGGCTGGCGCTTAGGGCTGTTTCATGCTTCCATCTCCCCAGCTGACGGAAAGCCACGCAGACGGGCGGGCGGCTCGCTGGCTGCGCAAACCAGACGAGACAAGTCGGATCTTAGGGAAATAGAAATACTCTGATGCGAACAAGTCTGCCGCTGTAGGTGTGTACAGAGAACGGCTCTGTGCGTTGGCTGCCAGATATGAGTGTGTGTGTGCGTGTGTGTTTGTGCGCGTTGCTTGTGTGCGGCTCAATGTGCATCCGTGCCGGCGCTTGTGTGTGCGCAGCTGAATTACCTGAGCTAATTGCTTTCATGTCGGAGGACAGTTTCTCCCAGTAAGTAGAGATTGAGAATGAAAGGCCTTTTTCTCTCCCACCAGTACCTTGTCGCTCATCGTGTGCTTACTTTTTTTTCTTTTTTTTTTTTTTTTTACCAAGACCACTTGAACTGCAGAAGACGGGCTTCGAGTGCTCCATCATTTGGAACCATTTCTGAATCCCTGCAAGTTCAGTCGGATTCCAAATAAGCAACAGCTGCGGGTGTGTGCTTCCTGTGGAGCGGTGGGGGGGAGGGCGATGGGTGGGGGGGGCTGCAACCTCAGCGTCTGCTGGTTGCGTCTCTCTGCATTCGTTTCCCAGTGAGATGGTTTCCTTATCGACGACGTGCGCGGGCGACCAAAAATTCCTACGCGGCCGCCTTCTTATCTACCGGTGATCATCCCCGAGACGCATCAGTCACCCCCCCTGTCTCCATTGTCTGGTTCCTGTGTTTGGTCCAAACAAACACAATTCAGGGCTCGTCTGTAGGGGACAACAAAAATGTGAAATGTGTCCCCCGGGTTCACTCTCTGAGATTAAAGGTTCAGGTTAAATCATCAACTGCGTGTTACTGGGGAAATTATGAATCATTACACTGTCACCCAGTCCATCACACTATAGATCTGTGTGTGTGAGAGAGAGAGAACGGTTTACAACAACGGTCATGATTCTCTCATCTAACCTGAAGGTATATCGGCTTCCAGATTTCAGAGTGCCAACATGTCAGATATTAATCAAAACGGGGCTGACAAACGTCTTGGGCGAGCTGCCAGACGTATTTGTCTGCCGCGTGTCACAGCGGATTAGCTAGAGGTAATTGTCTTTGTCTTTTATATTTCATAGATGTGGGACCAGATGAGGCAGTGTTGTAGAAATCTTCCTTTCTGAGGTTGCAACATTTTACGGTGTCATTTACGTTTGCAGCCAGCGCTCCATACGGCACACAGTGAACCCCCAGACATATTTGCGCTCCTCATCAAAGCTCCCGCACACATTGCATGCTTTGTAAATGGAACCCATTCCTGATGGTTTGGAATAACTGACACAGGAGTACAGGGCAAACTAGTTTTCAGGTAACGTTCCCACACATATTTTCTTTTTTACTATTCGCCTCGCCTACGAGGGCTCCCTTTGTGTTTGCAAAGTCGCTTTCTTTGGGTCACACAACGACATGCAAACCCAGTCATTGTTATTCATGTGCACACAGACAAATACAAACATACCCACTGCATGACGTGCAAATGTGTGCGCTAGCACAAAGATAAAACGGATGCCCGTAGTGTAGTTTCATGCAGACACACAGAGAGAACACAATGCAAAGCTCAGCATTTAACAGCATGACCGAGGCCCTCCGACATTGCTTCCACTTAAGTGCCAAAGCTTTGTTTCCATGTCTCTCGTCTTAACGGAAGTCTAGTAGCGACGGATGAAACGCCTTGATGGATTCATCTCCTTTCTCTGTTCATGTATGATTGTGTCAAGTGATCACTGGGGCTGGAATGCTGTGGAATGATACTCAAAGTAGATTTTCCGAGGCTAACTGCTGTCTTTGTCTACCTCCTTTTTTCTCCCTTCTCTGCAGAGACCGTGATGGACACTCGGGTGGCCACAGCTGAACTGGGTTGGACGGCGTATCCTAATTCTGGGGTGAGTTGGTCACTCTCAACCGGTATGCATCCTGACAAAAAAAAAAAAAAAAAAGGGTTCTTTTCAAACTCTTTCTGTTCTCATGAGGAAGAGCAACAGGGTGTGCGCACGCAGATCTGCAATCCGCCAGACAAATAGACAGGAAGACAGGCAGGATGGGAGCACGGACTTAAGTAGTGCTCAATGTAGCTCCTATTATGGGTATTATTTTCTCTCTGTCCCTGCTCATAATGACTTAATGATATAATGGGTCCACGTAAGCCCCAGACACAGTACCTAAGTCCCTGTAAATGGAGGCTGAGGGGATACCGTAGACATAATGATACTGTAATGATACATTTATGAAGGGAAGTGGTGGCATTAGGATGAAACGGGGAAGGAGGAGCCAAGAGGACGGAAACGCTCCGGGCCTTTTCGCAATTTCGCAGAACTATTTTCATGCACAGGAGATGAAATAGGAAAGTGCAAAGTCATGAGAATGGGGACAGTGTTTGTCTTTGCTGAACCACTCACATTATCAGAAGTATGATTGGCCTATTACGCTTAATAGCCTTAAAGATCATTTCAATAATTCAAGGAAAAACTCCATAGTCCAACAATAATAGCAGGGATCTTGCAAGCAGTCATCCAACAATCCAACCATGAGGGTTTCCTGAATTTCCCTGGTGTTGGGGTCTTTATGGAGCCTTTAACGTGTGTAAAGAGAGCTTGTATTACTTTTGAACAGCGCGTTGGCTGTTTAGAGAGTCTGGCAGTCTACACTTTCCCTTCTCTCCCCAAAGGAGTGCTAACTAAAACAACCTTGACCCTGGGATAACCTTGTGTGCTCAATTTATCTAACACAAGTGAGCGTGCAGTGTGTTTCTGTGTGCGAGTCCACGATTATAATCAAATTTTACCGCTGAATTCTCACGTCTGCTGCTGTATTGATTGTATGAATAACATTCTCTTAAAATTATATAGATACTTACCAAATACAGTTTCCTAGAATCAATGAGGGAGCTGCTTTCAATAAAGATTAACGGTTTAGACAAACGTAAGACAAGTAGCTCTTGAGCAGACTTTCCTCACCAGATTGAAACTCCAAAATAAGCAACTGAGTTATGGGGATGCATAACTTTCCCCCTCACGGTGAATTAATCGTGCAGCGGCCTTTCTGTTGCTTTGTTTTTTGCTCGGAGTACTGTGAAAGCATCAGTTGGGTCAACACTTACATAATATGCATAAGGAATAAATTGGATTAGTCCCGCCGTGGATCATCCTCACACTGTAACATCTTTTCCTCTGTGAAGAGAAAATATCCAGTAAGACCCACTGAGCAGAGACTTTTTACGGCACCATTTCTATCAAAGCCCGTTCAGCTCAGCGAGCCTGCAGGCTCACACAGCCTTCTGTCTTTGAGCGTAGCTGTTTTAAGCTTCTCCAGGTGTAAAGAAACAGAAAGGGAGACCCTCTGTAGGGAGAACACACTCGTACCGCTTTACTCGGCTGCCTTGACCTTACTGGTTATGTGTGTGTGTGTGAGTGATGCAGCACGGCGTGCAGGAATGGGAATTAATAAATCATTGATGTATCTCTGTAGCAATGAGGTTTAAACATGGAACTCTGTCTAACCTGCAGTATCGGATCATTTCCATATTCAACACTCCCCCTTGGGGGGGTTGTTGGTGCACCCGCTTGTGTGCGGACTATATCACCTGGTTTAGAAATTGCATAAGCATGACTGTATAGCCTATAACCGTGTCAGTGTAAAAATTGCATAATGTGCCGTACCTGTGAGACGAAACATGCTCATTTTAATAATCGTGTGTATTCGTCAGTGCAGACTGTGTGGTCAATGGTTCCCTTTGAGAACCTGATAACTGCCTCTGTAACACAAACACACATACCCTCGATACATCTCATTAATTTCCGTTAGTAACTTCTCCTTCAGGACTTCATAAGAGGTCTGTGTGTGTGTGTGTGTGTGGCTGACCAGAAGGGTTCATTTTGAAGGATTACAGAAGCAGTGTCATTAGTTCCAGTGGTGTAAACACGAGGACGTATCAGGGTGGGCCGTGTGAATGGATGATGGAGCGACGGTAAGCGAATGCTCTTATTTTAGCATCTGCTAGAGAAGAGCTCAGAAGGAGAACAGATACGTGATTGTTTTTTAATCCTTTTATTGTTGCATTTCAGTTGGATTTTTCACCTTTCCCTCGGTGGACTTTCACCTCCAAATATCATTTTTTTCTCTGCTTCTGTCTCAACTTCATCCTTATGAGTCCGTCCTCTTCCTCTGTTACTCGGTGACGTCATCTCACGTACATCTTTGCTGCTTTGTGACCAACGGAACCCAAAGTCCCAGGAAGGCCAACGTGTCTTGACCTTTTCCATACGTCAATTTGAAACAACGGACATGAAAGACGATGAAACGCACAAAGACACGCTGACCTTGCTAATTTGGATTTACTTGCACTTACAATGTGATTATTCTCAATTATCAACTGTAACTTGGTTGCGGAAACATAATCTAAATGATCAATCACAAGACATCCGTCCAAACATGGATTCAATTGGTAAGAAATAAGAAATAAAAACACTCAAACCTTCAGCAGGTTAAGCTATAAAAAGACCTTTAGTTATATGCTCCTTTAAATGCTCCGTTTGCATTTTGAGTTTTTACTAGAAAATGTTTTTATGCTTAAATGTTCACACTATCTGTCTGAATATACATGTATCCATTAGAGGGGACGTCTCATTAAGCCGCCCATTTTAGAAAAATCCCACTCGGCTCTTATGGTGGAACTTTGTGAAGGTGGCTTTCCAGCTGTCGGTGTAGATACTCACATATGTTCTAATGTGTATTCTATATTCTAATGAGCGGCGTGTTCCTTAGGAAGGGAAGACATATCTGATGGCTTGTCACACACATGTTTTAGTTTCATGCAGCCCACAGAACTTGCGACTGGGTTGTCCTAATTTATATTTTTGCCTTGGCACCCCTGATATCCAGCTGTCTGTACCCATTTATTTTAAGAAAATAATAATATCATGGTGATGAATACAGATGTCTAGTTCTTATACTGTGTGCGTAAACGTGCATTACAAATACCACATAAAAAGTCTGACAGCAAAGTAAAATATCTTTACTTGCAAAAAAACAGCTAAACCTTTGAACCAAAAATTATTAAATCCAGTTTCACGTTGAAAAAAACCCTAAAGCAATTAAAATGCAACCATTGCATCTTTTTATTTTGTGTTCGGTCGAGAAACAAAATGAACAAATCAGTGTTCCCACTGTTCTCTACATACCATGTTGACTTTATGACAATAAACAATATCTAGCGAGACGTGGTAGGACTTAGACAGAAATGAGATCACTCACCAATTCCACGGCAGATCTAGTGCTGTCAAACCTTAGTTGTGGAATTCATTTTGTTATCTGAATTCCTGCTTGATTTCTCACAGTAATCTGGTTGCACAGCAGCAGATAAGGAAGGTGACTAATCAGGGTTTTGTATTACTATCATTTAAGTGAATTTGATGAGTGAAGTGGAAACGAAGAAGAGCAGAAGAGCAAAGCTCTGCGCGTCCACGGGGGTGTTTTGACGAGCAGGCGAGCGCAGCAAGCGCCGGGGAAACGCTGTGGAGCTCGTAATATGAACTATTCTGCAGCACTATGCTATACCACAGGGAAATATATAGATACTGTAACCATAAAGGCACAGTCGTTCTGTGAAGAGTCAGCGTGCAACCCTAATGCTCCTATATATTACTTTTTTTATGTCTCTCCTGTCATATTTTATACGAGCCTTTTCTGCCTTCTTTGCCATTATAAGCAGCGACGAAAAAACGCAATAAAGAGCCGTGTTTGAGATGTGTGGAGGAGGCCACACAATAAAACGTTGGCGACTGAGCTGATCTGAAGTGTAAGACAATCGAAAAGGAAAACTTTGATTATTCTTGAATGATGTCGATAAATGGGGAAGAAAAAAAAACAGGTCCCTCCTCTGAGAGTGAGCGGGTGAGATTAGGCGAGCGCCGAGTGAGGAAGACAGCCACGAGCTGAGATTGAGGAATGAAAGGAGCCGCCAGACGGAAAACAGAAATGAAGGCGGCGGAGCTGACAAGGGTGGCGGGGAGAGCAAAGGGGCGCGAGGAGGGATGGGGACGTGAGAATGGAAGCTACCCCCCCGTGGAACCGCAACATCCCGCTGTGGGCGTGCCGGCGAGAGAGCGCTTGGCTTGACCCGTGTGTTTCTGAGAGGTCATGGGCAGAGTTCAGGCTTTGAGGTGAGAGCCTCGGGAGGGGGAGGAAGAGGTGGGGGGGGTCGCGGGGTCAGTGTTGTTGTGGCGGGGGCGGCCGCGCTGACAGAGGCTGTGGGTGCTGTCGAGCGTGTCGACAGAGAGCAGGTTGGTGAGGTTATATGGGGCTCGGGGAGTGGAGGGATAAATAAAGAGCACGCTAAGTAAGCAGAGGCAGGGGTGCGGAGGATAAATACAGGCGGGGGGAGGGAGGGGGGCACAGCGGACAGGGAAAGGTGGAGTGAGACGCCAGCAGGTGCGAAACAACGTTTGGAGGCAGTGGATCTCCGCCGGCATGTTTGTATTGACGCGGTGCTTCCACACGAGGACGCGTGTGCTCACGCGTGCGTCCCAGTGGGCGGGGGGGCGAGCTGGTGAGCGCGCACGAGAGCAGGTGTTGCTGAGGAGTTTTTGAGGGCGTGCCGCCGGGCCTGTGCTTAAGCAAAGCTCCCGCGGGACCTTAAACCGGACAGGTGTCAGCAAACACTCAGCGATTCCTAAAGAGCACAGATAGATCCATAAGAGCCGTCACACCATCTGCTGACCAGACTCAATACACCTCAATTATTCATATGGTGACAGACAGACAGGCAGGCGGGCAACGGGCATCGGGGAACACAGGAGGGAAAAGTAAAATGAGGATAAAGAAAAAGAGCAAAAAGGTAAAGAGGAGGGAGGAAGAGGCTGATTGGAAGTGGAGCGGGAGAGCGATG